CCTTTTACTTAGCTTTAGATATCTTCTCCGATGTTATTTTTTGTATATCCTCATTAGTGAAGTTTAAACTTGTCAAATATTGTTTCAAGTGTTATATGTGTGCCTTGATTATTGTTGCTTTTTGTAATAATTCCGCATGCACTTTAGTTCGTTAACATTATTTGTTCCTTGAATATCAACATTCTTGGTCGGTAACACAATTAGTAGTAAATAAAGGGCATTTATTTTAAATATGCTAGAGAATAAGGGTATCATCTGTGAAATAAAAGTATTCAGGTAATTTGATTTTATCATGTGTGCTCCGGTTCGTTATTTTCCAGTATCGAGTCAGGGAAAAGTAATAATATTAAATGCTAAATCAAATACCCTTACTAAACCCAATTTTTTATTACTGTTTTTTATTGTTTGTCTTTGGTTATCACTTGGATTGTTGGTGTTGTGGTATAGTTTGGAGAACAAAGAAATAAATGTGTAGGGGATTCTAAAGTGCTTCATAGTTTTCCATACTAATTACTTGTCTATAGGTCGTCTATAACAAGCAATTTTTTAAATCTATAACAAGTGTATGTAGAAATAAAAAAAAATACCTTGTGAATAGAACTCTCCATAAAATCCTCTGTATGTATAACTGCTATCTGTTTTAAAAGTGATAAAAAGGTTGTTTGTTGTCGATACAATCACATCTGAGACTCCCCTACCACAGACTTTCTTAGAACTTTGAGCATCTTTAGTAGCTCCGTCGTACACGATGATATAGTCTTTGTCACAATAATCTGTTTCCACAAAGGATAGACTATAAGAAAAATAATTGTTAATTAGTACTAAGGCTTTTTTTACAATGTCACTTACATTTTTAATTCCACGTTAATGTATGGTCAATGAGATATTGACCTACTTTAAAATGAGACGGGTATCAGCACGTGCCGATAGATTCCATGTAAATTCCTGATTGTCTAAATATCGTAAGGGATATCCAGGACTTGCCAACTTGCCTACCTCATATAGTGTAGAGTGTCTGCCTGTTTTATTTGATGGAATTAAATCAGTTTAATAACAAGACAAAAATAAAATCTGAATACAATGCTCATTGGCTATGCTTTTAATGGCTGTACATATTTTGTATGATCTAACATAAATTACATAACTTTCCCATAGTTGGATACCCCAGATTGTGCAGAGTTTATATTTAGTCTAACAGTAATTTTTTGGCTATCCACTATATTGTATTTGGCAAACGTGTATATTTTAAGCTATTTTATTCTGACGTCAATTCATGTTATGTAACGTAAACTATGCACACAGATTGGTTATATCGAAATGAAAAAAAAAAATGACAACTTAAAATAGTATTTTAAAGAACAAATAAAAAAAAAACATGAAAAATAATACTTTGATATATACTTGTCAGCTGTGCGTGCTGTTATATGTTGAAGCTAATTAAAAAAAAAATAAAATGGTATCGTATCTAGAAGGTTTTATCGCTACGACCTCATTCTACACCAATCGAAGAACAATGTTTTGTCTTGCTGCGTACATTTTCTTATTAGGGAACGTGTAATGTCATGTTTTTAGATGTAAAATTTCCTTTACGCTTGTCATAAATCATCTTAACGTGTCATCACTCTACAAGTACTACGTAGCTTTACCTAACAATTAATGTCGTGACTTAACACAACGTATCGTAACATAATGGGATAATTGATATATATGTAACCTGAATAATTCCTTATAAATATGATTATATGTGAATAAATAATACCATATATGTTGAAGGTGGCTATAAATTGTAATCTTCCTGTTGTCCTAAACACTATGTGCATATTATTTCCTGTCGACACTGTGAGTGGCTGCCATGTTGTACACTTTGTGTTATACGACGTATAAAACTGCGATGGACCGTTATAAATCTGCAGGTAGTCTGATGAGCAGTCGTTGCCTGCACTTGTGTTCATGTATTTTAAACTACAACATGAAAAAAAAAGATTTAAAAGCTGTAAAAGTTTTTTAATAATTCAATGGAAACAAGTTTTTTTATTTTAATGCATTTAAATATTTTCTAAGTACAGCTACAAAACCCGATTTTTATTTCGTTAGCGTAGCGCAGCGCAATAAACATATTACACAACATAATTTACATCCATTTTACAGATCAAAGACTTAATATAAACTATCAGAGGTCTAGTTAGAGAAAGGCTAACGAGGCGGCCTTCCCGTTCGTCGCTCTATATGCGCAAAACTGAAAAAAGCAGAATTTAAACGATGAATAATCCTTTACACACAGACGAAGTTAAGAAACTAGATTGAAACTTTGCTTTACATAAAGATTGAATGATTTTTTTCTTCATTTGCTTGAATCCAAACGAAACCTTTAAAAATACATTTATTTATCCGAAACAGTACACAAGTTGTAGGCTTTTGAACAAACAAAAATAAATACATTCCACATCCGGTTTATCGGAAATCGCTGAAAGGTTGGTACAGAACTACAAATTTGATATCATACTTATATATGAAATTTCATCAACCTTACTGTAACGGTACTCAAGTTATAGTGTTCACAGACATACACACGCATACACACATACATACACACAGACATACGGACAAAATTGCAAAACTATTTTTGTTTTTGCCTCAGAGTGGTGTAAGACATCGAGATTTGTGAAAATCTCGAATTTATTGTTTGCACTATCACAATACTTCCTCTATATTTCGTATACGAGTAAGTAAAAATGAATGTGCGGATTTATCGAATTTTTTGGAAATTTTCCGTTGTCAGGGCGATACTTCCACCTTAACATTTTTTTTATTCATTGTGTAACACCAATACTCAACTTCTAAACGACTGAGGGTGAAAAAAAACGCCATCGTTTCAATATCAAGGCGTGATGCACTTTCGCCCTTTTTACCTACGTAAATATCTTTAAATCAATCATCAGAGTATCATAAGATCAATAGTTCGCACCCAGCGCCGAAATGGAACCCTGTACCTCTTTTATCAGTACATAATCAAGATATAATTGTTATTCTAGTGGTATTTTTAAAAGCGTTTAAAAAAAATGTTCCAATTTACTCACTGTTTACTTCCGCGTTTACGAAATATAACTTGAGTACCCTTTTAACCTAGTTAGACGAAATCTCATGCATTTACATATTATATTATATCCACTTGTTTCTCTCTAATTGTGAGTGACTGAAAAAAGTACTTGACGTTATATACGATTTATGTAAATCACTACAGGAAGTTATTTACCTTCATTTCTCTTTTTACCGCCGTCATGAGCGAAGATATACACGCACAATAGGTAGGAAAAGTGGTTCCAAAAGTGGTTCCACTTTGTGTTGCCAGAAAGCATATTTTCGAACCAAAATTGAATATTTTATAACATTTGTGAAATAACTTTTAATAAGTACAAAGTCACTTCCGGTTTTACTAAGGCTAGACATATTTAAACACAAAATTACTAATAGTATAATAGTAATTTACCAAACATTTTTATTTTTATTTGGATTAGTATAGTCAGGGTGTTGTGGTACAAGGGGATGTTATATTATTTAATATAAATAAACTACTAGGCTATATTCCATTGTAATAATAAGTAAAGCGTAATTAATATCAACATTTAATATAGGCCTAATCAATCTAGATCGACCTCTGACTATGGGGTCATCTATTAACGATGTCACAACGATGCCAGACCTCCCCCTTCCCCAAAAAAGTAAACCTAAGCCAACCCCCCCCCCCCCCCCGCTATTTTGTTTTTAAAGCAGCGATTTTCATAAAATATTTAGACCTATGTGCTTTCCAACATTCAATGTAGGCCTATTGATGAATTATTTTATAACAATTTATAAAACAACTTTTAATAATGCAAATAAGAGCTTAAATTCAGTTTCTTAACATGAGTGTTTGTTGAACATGGAAAAGTGTCATCTTACTTTCTGAACCCCCTCCCGCTTGACCAGAGGCGTAGCGACCCTTGCCGGCGCCAAACCTTTAGATTTGCACCCCCCTCAAGATTTCGATTTGCACCCCTCTCAACCTTTTCAATTTATTTTTCCAACCCATTTTGGCGCCCCCTAAGGTCGGCGCCCGGGGTCATATGTCGTCGTCGTCCCCCCCCCACCCCCGCTATGCTACTGCCCTTGACACAAAGGTCCAAATCTCCCCCACCACCTCAAAGTCCGAGACCACTACAACATTTTGCTATAATTTATAGGATATTCATTAATTAGTCATACAAACCTAATTACATTTGTTGTTTTGATGGTATCTCTGCCATTACAATTATTAAATAGTTTATCTTAACTCAACATTTCCCCTAACCTCATTTGCTACAGCTGCCTATCCTTTATAGAAAACATCTTTTCCTCAAATATCTGGAATGCATCTGATCAGAAAGTCTTTTTCTTTTGTAATATATAAACAATTACATGTTCATAAACTTGCACAGCCAATAACAACACATTACCAGGAAACAGGCAGTGATTATAGTTTGCTGTATTTGTGGTTGATGGTTAGTTATCAGCCATATTTCTCTAAGCTTGGTCTACATTTATATGCTGGTATTTGTGGTATGGCTAGAATTGAGAAAAACCCATATTCTTGATTCTTCCCTTATCATTATGTTTTACAGCTATGATAGATATATGCAAATGTAAGACTTATAGTGGGACTACATATTTGTGAACACATTTGCTAAAGCAAACAATCTTGAGTTGAAATTTTAATCCTTTAGGTTGTCTCTGATTCAAATTCAAAGCAGCTTTAACTTGTACCTGACTGGTTATGGACAGTAAAAGCTGTTTGACATTTTGCTGACCATACAATTTATTAATATGAAAGGGTAACAAAACTAGGTGAAATCTAATTCAGCACCATATTCTTAAAAACTATTTATAGTTCGCCAGTTTAAGTTAATTATTGAATAAAGGTAGCAATAATTAGTTTACGCATACACCAGCACTCACAACCAGTGCTGAAAAAAAACATAACAAAGTTTATATTTTCTTTTTTTAATTACCATATTCATTCAGAATATTAAAAAAATAATTGTTCAATATGAACAAGTTTTCTTGGGTCCAACATGTATCCTTGGATCAGTTTTTAAATTGAGCTTCATCTTGACTTTTGTCTTCTTTGTATGCAGTTGTATAATCCACAGTATCTAAAAAAAAAACAAATGAATTTCATAAACTGTTATATTAAACTCATTATGTTTACATACTTTCAACTCTTAATGTTATAAATAAAAATATTTGTCTGTCTTATAAAGATCATAAAGCAATGATGTGTATTTATGTATTTGATTGTATGGGCTATCTAACCATTACCATTCATTAAAAATATAGGTCTAATAGTTTACTTTTAATATTTTAGTGTAAGGAGTTTGTCATAAAATACAATAGGCCTTCAAAAGAGTCCAAAAGTCATGTATATATCATTAAAAAAAAGAAAAAGGTATCAATAAAGATCTACTACTTATGTTTAGCCACCTCAGGAATTAGTTGAAAATTGATATTCTAACTAGGATACTATAACTATCATTAATTCATACACATACTAGAATAAATATTAGGATAATTATATTAATTTGATTAGTAAGTTAATCCATCTATGACAATTGACACCTTTTGGCTTTATCAACTATTCTGCATTTTAAATTCTAAAGATCACTATATAATACTAAGAGTAGACTAAGTCATATATTAAGTTAATTAAGTAGAACTGAAATAAGACAGCTCTTTACTAATAAGCCTACTCTTCTATTCAGTAATTTTTACTATTATTATTAGAGGCCTAAAATTACTGTTAGACTACTAATCTAGATTAAACTTAAATTTTGGATATTATTTAATGTACTAGTCTGTAACCTTTTATTTAGGCTACATGTAATTTTTACAAGTTTAAAATTGTAGCCTTATTAAGCCTAGTTAACTTTGCTTAACTTACATACAAATACTAAATACCTACCCAATCACAGGCCTACTAGACTACTACTAAGCTACTACATCTAAATCTACAGTCTAGGTAGATAGGCCTACTGAACTAAAAGTAATATGACAACTGTAAAAATTAAGCATACTTTATTTTTTTTACAATACTATTTTAAGCCTATAGACCTACTGCTATTAAATATGAATCTATTAGTTATTAGACTAACATAAGTCATCATAAGTCTAATTAGTAATTACCTCTAACTAGGCCCTAATCATATTAACAAAGTAAGTATTAGGACTGTCATCTGTACCATAGAATACTACTACTATAGTAAATATATTTTAACAAGTAGGCTCTAACAAATTAGACTAATCATTTATTAGACTAGGCGTATATATGTAGTGCCCTACTAACTAATTACTAAGGACTAAGATTAACTATTTACTATATGACTAGTCTATAAAACTAGTTTATACCAGCTACACATTTATAATATAAACTATGGGCCTAATTTATTTAACTTATTTATTATTACTATTAACTTAAAATACTACTATATACTTATTGAATTATTTAATATAGATTTTTATAAATATATATTATATAATTAATATATAACTTCTAGATCTAGACTAGAGTAGATCTCTTATTCTCTACTACTTGACAAATACTTAATAGATCTACTGTCGTACAATATAAAGTTACTTAACTAACTATAAGATCTATAGATCTAGTTAGTATTAGTTATTAGTATTATAAAGTATTATTGAGTATTAAGTTTATAAATTAGAATAGATCTAGAATCTAGATCTAGTGTTTTTATATTAAATAATTATAATTAAACATATTAAAAAGCCGTAACATACTAGATCTAGAACTAGATCTACTACTAGACTAGATCTAGATTCTAGATCTAGAAATCTAGATCTAGAATCTAGATTCAAGACTAGATTTAGATAATAATTAAATTAAAGTTAATAGATTCTAGATCTAGATATCTAGATTTCTAGATCTAGAATAGATCTCTCGACTCTCGTCTAGAGTACTCCTCCTAGAATCTAGTACTAGATTCTCGATATAAATCTATTTTAGTCTAGATAATCTAGATTAGATCTAGAAATCTAGATCTAGATCTAGAAACTAGAAACGTAGGCCTATGGCTTGATTCTAGATCTCTAGCTTAGAGCACTCACAGAACTTACAGTGAGTAGTCACAGGCCTAACAAAAATAATGAAACATGCGTTAAAAACATTCTACAAAAACATTGGTAACAATTAATAAGAATAATGTTAGATATTAGTAATCTGAGCATAACAGTCATAAAAAAATAAGCCAACTTTAATGAAAAGGGATACAAACGAATTTTAAAAGCCTGAATCGAACTGAAAATATTCCCTTGTTCGCCATTTTGTTTTCTTGAATCACCTTGTTCGTATTTATCACGGACAAAAAATGTTATGACTTTAATCTTTTTACTCTCCCTGGCCACTTCAGTTCAGTTCAAGGTGGGGTTGAGGGCGGTATTATTAAATATTTAAATTTATACAAGAATTCAAAATCATTTTCAACGGCTTATGTTCAATACAAAAATATGAAAATGAGTGTAATCGATGGTTCCCAAACGGCTTTAATTTTTGAAAATGTAGCTATAATTTTATCGCTTTCTATATTTTTTAAAATAATTTTTAAAAAATTTAGTATGATTACATAGACTTTTCCTACCTATTGTAACCAATTCTACCTGACGATTTCTTTTCAAGTAGGTCAAGACTCACTGACAATGCACGGTTATATAAAATGAGCCGACCCGCGGCGTATCATACGCCGCTATTTAGTTGTTTTATTTTCCACTTTTCAGTAATTCATACTTTGTGAATTCGACAGTGCCAGTGCTGCCACTGAAAATATTTGCTTTAATATACTATCAGTTGGTCTTTAAAGACGATAACCCCCCCACCCCTCCCACCCTCATTTCCCCCAACCCATACCCTTATAAATCGTCAACTACAACAAATAATCTGAAATGGTATTGACATAAAAAATATATACAATTTGAATGTGTTGTAAAACGGAGCAGATTTGATTAAAATAATAATCATTAAAAAAGTTTTAAAAAACCCACGTTTTCTGATTGAACTAAAAAGTAGAAAATAAATACTATACATCACAATAATGCAAGCGATCACTCTACTATAAGCGATGAAAAACGTGGGGCGCCGAAGTAAAAGTTATATTACTATTGATTAGATAATACTATTGACTTTTATTAGGGAGCTTGTAGAGAGTCAACAGTATTAGAAACTGTAAGAAAATCACGGCGCCCCACGTTTTTGATCGCTTATAGTAGAGTGATCGCTTGCATTATTGTGATGTATAGTATTTATTTTCTACTTTTTAGTTCAATCAGAAAACGTGGGTTTTTTAAAACTTTTTTAATGATTATTATTTTCTACTTTTTAGTCTTTGTCTGTTTGTTTGCATTAAAATCTTGCTATCGATTTTATCTTTTCACTTTTTTTTTGGGTAAACGAAGACAACTCGTAAAAAGACAACTCGTAAAAAAGACAACTCGAAAAAAAATCGTTGTGTGAATACGTTACTGACTAGAACACATAGATTTGAACCCGTGTCGAGTGGGATAGCAATCGTGTGCCCAACCACTCGACCATATCGTCTCCCCCAAACTGGCCTACATCCTGTAAGTTTAAACTCGGTTCAAAGTAAATTATCTGCCCCTAAGCCTGTGGCAACGTGGGATCGTTCGCTTCACTGCGCGCGAGGTACGCGTCGCTGGTTTTTTTTCTAATGGCTCGCAGAGGAGAATTATATATATAGATTATATAGCGGTCTAAAATGCTCAATAAAATGTTTCCATTGATCAATTTAGTAATAATAACAATTGCATATTCTATGGTCATCCAAAAGAAAGCTTCTCTGAAAATTTCAGCGCGCTAGCTAACTGGGAAGTGCCAGAAATTTCGATCGCAAGATTGGATTGGAAAGACAAACACAGACACAGAGAAAGCAAGTTAAAGAAAACGTGGGAAAAATAAAAAAAAGTATAGTAGTTTAATGAAAAGGATATAATGTAAAACATTACTCGAAGGATATGACTGTCCCGTGTAATCCTCGAATTGTCCATGTACAGTAAGCTGCAAGACTCGAGGGATAACTTGGGCTGGTTATCGTTCCTGTTGTGGTCGTCACTGTACTATTACAATCTATAAAAACAATGTTGTATTAACTGCATAAAATTAACCATGGTTGCATTATACTCAGCGGCGGGACTACAGTGCCGCCAGACCACGCAATGCGGTGGGGGGTGGGGGGCACGCGTTTAGAGGGCCCACGGCCGATATAAACAATTTTTTTAATAGTTAAAAAAATATCTTTCATGCATTTTTGACTCGATGGATGTTTGTAAAAAAAGAATACCGCAGCTGCAGTTGGGTTATATTTAGACACTATCCTACGCTCTTGTGTATTCTTTATCCCTTTGTTTTTAAACCATTGTGAAAGCCGACTCCTCCTTCTACAATCAAACATACGCTGTTGTCGGCAAAAAAATGTTGAAAAAAAAAATTCATTACGCCAAGACCACTTCTATTACTTATTTCCTTTTGAAATTGAAAAATAGGATGCTCATAAGCATGCTCATTTTAATATATTTGTACTAAACAAATTAAACAGCAATTACTTTTTTTAATTATTACTTTTTCTAAAAATACACACTAAAGAATAACATAGTACAAAAAAAGGAAATAAATTTAAAAATAATAAAATAAATACGAAAAATATATAAACATAACACGAAAAACATTACACATACAAAACTTTCACGTTTTATATTCTTTTGACCGGCTCAGTAATGGGAAATATTACGGCAGACGTAAACTTAAAAGGAGGTTTTTTAAATTAGACTAATGCGCTCACACACATGACATGTTCTTATAAATTGCTTTTAATTTTTAAAAAAAGACATTATTTTTCAAAACCCGATCAGGTCAGAAATGAGTATCCTATTTTGGAATATATATATATATATATATATATATATATATATGGGGCCCAAACATTTGAGTTTTTGGTTGTGTAGTTCGACTTAGTCTTTTTGCCCAGCGTCTGTTAACTTATACTAAACATTTTTTAAAAATTAGGTTGAGGAGAATTGATTTAAATTAAAGAATTAAAGTATACAAATAACGTTTCGTTATTGTTCGCGAAAAACACGTTTGTGAATTAAATTGCAGTTAGCAACAGTTAACTTTCTTGTTGGATAGTATTTTTATCAAAATTCAAGGTAAAAGAAAATTATATTTGCTCTGTTTAATCTACACTGTCAAGCTAAAGGGAGATAACCTCGGTAACAGGTACCATAAAATAATTGAGTTAGCTGGTCGATGTTTATGGCAATAGGGGGGGGGGGGCAGAAGAGATACTATCACCACCAGTGTTTCTTCCAGACTTTATTCTCCGGGGGGGGGGGGGGGGGCACTTGAAATCTTCGGGGGGGGGGGCGGTAAACTTTCTTCGGGGGGGGGGGGGCGGACACTGTTAAAAGTATATATTTTCTATATAAATTATATAAATTTCATTTCGTTCGGGGGGGGGGGGCGGTAAAAAATTTTCGGGGGGCTTTGCCTAGACTTAAGGACAAAAGAACAAATAGCACTTGAACATGTTTATTAGTATTTTCAGATCAGGTAATTTATTAGTATTTTCAGATCACTCTATCCTTATACTTTATATTAAAATATGCCTACTAATACCAATTAATATATGCTTTGAATTGTTGTTTTTTGATTTAAAAAGACATCAAACTGTTCAAACACCACCTCCGAAGCTTTTACTACAAGTCCATTTATTCTTTAAACAAACACAAGCCAGTAATGGCAGGCAAACAAGTCTAATGCTGTAGTTGCTGTTGCTACAGCCAGTAGAGGTCTACATTGTCCCAGTGGTTGATACACCACTGAGACTGGGAGCAAACACCGTCCCATCAGGTTGATACACCGCTGGGACTTGTGGTAGCAAACACCATCCCATCAACCCAAGTTTACCATCATCCGATAAACTAAAGAGCTTTTGATTCAAATCTATGGAAGCTTTATACCATGTGTAAATATCCATCTCCAACATTGAAATTTTGACACTGGATACTTGGTGCATTGTCTAAACAGTCCAGCACTAACCAAATGCAATCAGAGGCGTAGCAATCCATTCTGGCATGAGGGAAATACCAGTTATGCGCACCCCCCCCCCTTTTATATATAAAGCTATTTTAAATGACTAAAAAGTACCCCCAACCCCATTTTAGCAGTTACTGTCCCTTAACGATTGCTAAGTCCACAATTCGGACTAATTTAGTTCAAACTTCCCAGGTAAATTCGTCTCCGAAGACAACTTTCAAATGGTTCTTTATTTTTGCGTGTCGATGCTAAATGAATCATGTTAAATCATTTAAAGAATTGCTCCATGACAATCGATCTCAGGACAAATGATCTCTTTCAAAATATCTTAGACATTTGTCTTAAGATAATTTGTCAGTGAGATATTTTTCTGAGATATTTTATATGAGATCATTTGTCCGTGAGATATTTTGTCTAAGATAATTTGTATGAGATAATTCATCCCGTCACCTAAAGGATTACTAGAAATTTAAATTAAACACTGTTGATCAGCTTTCTTAGACGGGTAAAACGGATAACCGAGGTTGAAGAAAGAACAAAATCGCCTTTAGCTATAAAAACTGTACGAAGTTGTGAAATTCGAAATAAATTTCATATTTCTATAAATGTCATAAAAATGATCAAATTGTGAAAATAAATTAAGATTTCCCGAACCAATTTATACATCTCTACGATTTTTATACGTAAAATTATGAAAAAAAGGATGATATTACATTACATTCATATTTCCTATAGTATTGCAATAAACTAACATGTGAAGACATGTGAATGGTGTAATGTATTATGCGGGTGAAAAGCTTCGATGTATACTAATGGGTTTGCGAAACTTAGGGTATGTTGAATTTTAAGTAAATAAAAAGCTACATTGAGAAGACTTGAAAAAAGGGTGGAAAAGAGCACTGTACATAATTTTAATTTCGGTGTGATGTTTAAATAAACCTACAGCCACAGGTAGAGAATAAAAATGCACTGGCTCATTTTGGTGGATCGATTTAACGGGACTTTTATAGAGGGGTCATTTGTCATTGTCCGTTTATACGCTGCAGTCCACTGTTATAAGATGTGTTGGTGAAAGTTCTACTTTATTCACGCTGAAGTGCCTCTACGGAGCTTTTACGAATTTAATATCTAGCCCATGTTTAACCTATCGGGTTGATGAAATAAAGATCAGTTGTTTCGGTAACTTAGGCATAGTAGGTATGGAGTGGTCAATAATATAACTGTCTCATTTACCAACGTTATTTAGGTACCTATCAATTTATATTATTAATAAAAATATGAAAAAAAAAATCGCCAAGGATTTGAACTGCGATTTAACA